TATAGCCTTGCAGATACAAAAAAGGAAGAAAATCATACAGCCTTGTAGATACTAAATAGGAAGAAAATCAAAGAAAGAATAATTCCTATAATCAAGCTATTCCTAATTGGGCTAATACTACATATTTACAGACTATAATTTCGTAACATTAACAAATAAATATGACCCCATTTATGTGAAATTTAAGTGCATTGATCCTTTAGGATTGAAATTTTCTTAGGAAAGACTCCAAATCCATGTGGCACCATAAGAGGGTTTGAGACTAAACATTTTGTACTCATTGGCATGTCATTATTCCAAAACCCAATCCGGTCATCATCGTCTGGGGTGTCAGCTCAATGGTTCAATGTTGTGAGACTCGGACTGGATGTCCAGTGAGACCATGAGACTCAGGAACCAGAGGCCATTTGGTTTTTTAATACCTTGTCTAGAAAACTGGTCAAATTGATCAAAACCTGACGGAACCGTTGAAAACCAGATAGGTTTCAATGACCCATATGGTTTTCATGGCCCGCCTGAAAAGATTCTAGTGGTTTCTTTAATTAATTCACAGCAGAAATATAAAATTCAGAATCTTGATTTTACCAAGATCACGCCCATGGTGTTGTACAAATCCGATATAATAAAAATTATAAACATACCTCTTGGATCGAATTCAATATCACTGTCAAAAATCCTGGGAGGTTTTTTCCTATGGCCTTACATTGGAAGAAGGAGAAAAGGAAGAATGTAAAGGGGGGTGGCACCTTTCTTGATTGTGCTAGCAATCTACTAGTTCTTAAGACTCTCTTGTGTTCTCTCTTAAACCCTAAGACCGCCCCATGCAAGCTTATATAGAGCTTGGTCCTAAGTACAATTAGCAAAACTTAACTCTTAAGTTGTGGATAATTACAATTAGGTCCCTCCACTAAAATTCTTTTTAGTGATTACACCTGTCCCTATTACGTTGACTGTTTTTACCCCTTATTGTGTGTGACCTCTTAGGTTCAACACTATTTAAGTAGTGGCAATTAATGCTGAACTAATTTGGCATTTTAGATGGAACTCCTTCCATCTGAATTGAATTAAAACTTTTAGTTATCGCTTGTTTCTAAACAATCCACCGTTATTCACAGGGGTTCTACTAATCATGAGTGACACCTAGCAATAATATATCATGACCACCCTAATAGTTTGAACTGATGGATTGAACCTTTCCATCTACAGTTACCATGTAGTCAGATCCTTCTATCACACAATATCCCAAAAGATCAAAGGGTCATGGTGAACATGTCAAACCCTACTAGCTCAATCATATGTCCCATTGAACTGATGATGATTCATATGGTGACACTTGGAACCCTTTCTATAGACCATACTACCTTGGCCAAGGACTTCATGATTCACATCAATCTCAGTTGCATAGGACATTCTCCCTCCTCATGGAGGGTGATGGATTCTATTTTGTGCATTCACATGCCTCCATGTGCAAGTCACCTTAGCCAGTATGTGCACGCTTAAATCCCTTGATTAGGGTATTAGTGATTGCACCATCAAACGATAGAGGCTCGTACACAAGGCATCCATGATGCCTTAGGTCTAGGGATCATCTACACAAATGTGATGAAAGAAGCAGTTATTAACACAAGATTCCATGTAACTATTCTATTAATGGGTCAAGTTCAATAAACTTGTTCTCTAACAAGCACCCACATATTTGCTTTTGTGTCTCCACACAAGTGACTTGAGATCCATCACCCTTTAAATTCAAGCATAATATGATCCAATCTATATGGATTATTAAAGCCCTCTTGATAACATAGGCTGGATGGAACAGCTTAGGCTAATTGTATACATATCCTGTCCAGAGAACATGTACAACATAACGCACTATGATAGTTCCCAAAGTGGAAATTACCCACATGGACCTCCTTACATGCACTCAAAACTCGAGGAACAAAAACCCAACATTCTAAAACTGATATGGTGAAGCTTTCTCAATAAGGTCCATGCAAACAGTGGATGGACAAGCAGGTTGGTAATTGAACACAATACTTGATTATCGAAGACCATGTTAGGAGCATACAGATCCTACTATAATAATATTGCATGTTTTGTCTTAAAGGACTTGAAGATATTTATCACTTCTTGATGTAAACGAATTATGTCCTTTTGTAAACAAGGGAAAAAATTGGTACAGGATGGATATTTAAATCCAGCTTCAGATAATACATAGAAGTATACAAGCCTGAGGCTGTCAATGAAGTAAAATTCTGGTCAAGTCCCAAAATTTTAAATTTCAAGCTTATCGTTCTATTTGTTAAAATTTTGTCATTGGGAAAACTTGTGAGAAGAAAAGTTTCTTTAGTGTCTAATTAAATAATTTTTGTCATCTAACACCAGTTACTGTGATACCAGAACCGTAACCAACTCTCATCCATACCCACACCTACTCTTCTCCAATAGAGATTTTTTCCACTCATAGGAACTCTTTGGATTGTTCACACAAATTATATGTTATTACTATGGTGTACCATGGATAGAGGGTTGGCCTTGGCGCAATGGTTGGGTTGCTCCATTGCGACCTGGGTGACCAGGATTCAAATCTTGGAAACAGCCTCTCTGTATGTGCAGGGGTAAGGCTGTGTACATCTGTCCTTCTCCAGACCCTGCATTTATGAGAGACTTGTGCACTGGGCTTCCCTTTACTATGGTGTACCATGGATGTTCTCAGGATTAATAATAACACTAACTATAGGTTGTATGTTGTCAAATGTATGCTATGGCTATTTTGTTGCCTTTACCACCTGTTTTGTTTTCTTCCTTACAATGGCTATATTCAGGATTACTTATTGTTAATACTAATCATAGAGTATACACTTTCAAATGTGCACCATGGCAATTCTTTTTCCTTTACTACCTCTTCTTTTTCTTTCTTACCCTTCTTTTCAGACAAAAGAGTTGATAGCTGAAATAGAGTTACTTGAAGAAGAGGTTGCAAACCGTGAACAGCATGTTCTATCTCTCTACAGAAGCATATTTGATCATTGTATTAGCGGTGCACCTTCTGGTCAAAGCTCAGGCATTACATCTCCTGCCCACCCAAAGAATGAAGTAAGAAAACACCCAAGCGTAATCTCAAGTGCATTTTGCTCCTCAACGAAAAAGTTTCCATTGCAACCTTTCCAAGTTCTGGCTTCTATAAAGGAATCCAGGAAAAAGAACGTGCTGTTGCATTCAAAGTCTAGACATGCTTCACTTCTGAATGGGAAAACTGACATTCATGTCAAGAACAATTATGCAGATCCCATTAAGGTATGAGATATACATTCTAAATCACCTGTTAGAACTATCTAGTTTTTCTTTCTTATTCTTATAGCAAATTTGTCTTTGAGATCCTTTTTCTTTTGAATTTTAACTACTATATTATAATTATGTGTAATGTTTGTCTGATGATTTATTTACTTGAATATAATATTCTTTGTAATGGCCATTTCTTCTGCTAACATTTAAGCTTTACAGTAATAGCTGAGTGTTCTTTCCTCCCTTTATGATTTCAACAGTTCAGTTTTGCTCGGAAAAGTACTCTCTGTTTCAGATAGTCAGGAGATCATTTTAACAAGAATGTTTTAGAAAATAAATCTTCCATTTAAATTTCAACTTCTGAAAAAAAAATGTTTCTGATTGCATGCCATAGCTTTTAAGTCATTGAAATCTCAGTTATTTCTGAGTCCAGAACCCTAAACTATTTTTTTTCTAACATTTCGTATGAAAGTTCAGACTTAATCTTTTTATTCTTAAATAAATATTTTTATCATAATTTCATTGATTAATAAATAATACATAGTATGACATAAAAGTTAGATGGCTATTAAATATAAATGTTAGTAAAAATAAAAATTATTATGTATAGAATATAATGTATATATACAATTAAAAATAAAGAGTAATATGAATAAGAAAATTTCTCCTAAAACAAAAAGAATTTTTTACTTTGAAAATTGTAGGTAGTATTTAATAAGAGAAAGAAGACCAGAGAATGGATCATCAACTGCTGGAGTCATATTTATTTGGTCAGTTTATAAAGAGAAATTATGTAATTCAATTTTACCATTCAATTTATTTCAGGAAAGTTTTTTTCTAATAAAAATCAAGAAATTACAGGAACTACTGTTTAGTTTCAGCTAAAATATGGATCCAATTGTGAATTGCATGAAATTTGAATGAAAGGGTGAAACCATGGACAGCCAAAAACCAGAAAAGCAAAATAATGAAAAATGAAGAAAAAGAAAATTGTATAGTATAGATGGCATTTGCACCTATCATCAGTATAATAATTAAATGTCCATTACCCAATGTTGGTCCCAGTAGAAGGATTAGCACGATTCAATCTATGCATCAATTCTTGGTAGCTATAAAATAAGTCATAGAAATTTGATAATCCTAACATCCCTAGCCCTTCAACATTAGTATTTGGAAGAAATACTAATGTTGTACTCATGTTAAGAGTCTGAAAATTATTGATTCATTCAAAATTTTGAGACTCTGTTCTTCTTCTTTCTGCATTTTTTGCTTGCAGAAGAGGAATTGATGTCTACTATAGTCTGTACTTAAATTGAATTCTTCTACCCATACCAAAGGATCAAAGATTTTTCTTCTTGTTTACTCTTAAATGAAAAACTAATATAAGTATCTGCTCGTCAATATCATAAAGAAAAAACTTGCACGTCCTTCACATGAATAAAATACTAGTTTACAGATGTATGTCTTGACAGTGTAGCCGGCCAGAGATAAGTGGAAGAGGAGAGAAGAGAAGAGAAGAAGAAGAGAAGAGAAGAGAGGAGAGAAGAGAAGAGAAGAAGAAGAGAAGAGAAGAGAGGAGAGAAGAGAAAAGGTTTGCAATGTAACAGTACTGGCGGCGCCAGTGTTTATTTTACTATATATAGGGCGACAGAAATAACAAGGGAAAAGACCCTTGTGCCCCTTAGTACAATAACAGACATAACAG